CCACCAAGCATAAGGATTCATTTCATAGGCATAATTGATAAGCCATTATAACTCAACTCAATCACAATATACATACTCTTTCCCTCCCTAGAGGCTGACTGGTTCTAAGCCATAATTCTCCAGGCATATAGTTGATCTTTTGGGGGACACCAGCCCATGTTAGGTCATCTTATCTCATTTGTACAAACATAAATGATACAGGAGATCATGATTAACATCTCTTACTTTTGAAATATCAAGGATTTAGTTTAATTCCTAGGAACTACAGACAAAGGCCAAATTCTTAATTATGTAACAATGCTTAAGATTTATTAGTCATATAAACCTTGAAATATTTCAAATGTCCTCTAGTAAACTATGACATATCCATATGGAATTTTATTAAGAAAAGAATTACAAGAATTTCATAATGTGAAAGTTTAAAAAATGTCATGTAAATAAGATGATCAAAACTGTATTAAGAGCTCGAACACCAGAGGAAGACCTTTCCTGCCTTCCTCTCTTTTTCTTTCCCTCTCTTATTTCCTCCCCTCTTTTTTCTTTGTTGTGAGACTGGAACTTTGAACCCAGTACCAGACACTTTGCTTATTGGCTTGGTACTAAACCAACTGAACCATCACTCCAAATCTTTTTTTTCCCCTTTATTTTCCTTTCTCCTTTCCCCTTCCCTTTCCTCCCTCCCTCCCTTCCTCCTCACCTCTATCTTATTCTCATACTGAGTCTTGAACTCAGGATGTGGGCACTGCACATTCAAGACTGGTCCTGTACCATTTGAGCCACAGCTCCACTTTTGGTTTTTGCTGGTTAATTGGAGATAAGGCTTTTCTTTCCAGGCTGGCTCTGAACTAGGATCTCAGACTTCTAAGTAGTAAAATCATGAGACACCAGCACCCAGCAATAAGCACTTTTTTATAAAGCCATAATTTAGTTCATGGTTTCACAGGTTCAGTGCAATTTTTCACAGGTTCAGTCCATACAGTTTGTTTTGTTGCAGGGATTTTTCACAGGTTCAGTCCATACAGTTTGTTTTGTTGCAGGGATCTACCATCATCCTTGGCTCAGATGTATGCCTTCCACCACACTGGAGATGGGCAACAGAAGGCCATGCCACTGCGTTCAGTTACAGGATGATGTTGTTCACAGCCTAGGTACTGTCATCAGATGCAGGAATGATATTGTGGGCAGTAACATGGCTGTCATGCCACAGTGTAACAGATTAGCTATCGTGTTTTGGGTAGCACTGCTGGCAAAGACTATAGTCAAAGTCCCTCCATGCTGCCAAGTTGTCAGTGATGATCATGAACAGGGGTTCCTAAACAGTTAATGATGCAAGAGGTATTGCTGGTGATCTAGTGAAACTACCAAATGTGAAGCTATCAAAGAAGTGGTGAAGCAGGCATCAAAAAGCCCCTCAAAGACATTGTTGGCTACAGTGATTTCTCATTATTACACGAGCAATTATGTCCTTATTAGTCCACTGGTTTATTGCCTTGCTCTCCTATAACAGGCGAGCCCTCATTAAAGGGCTATTTAGATCACTATTATTCCTCACATGCTGAAAACAGCAGCTGCCTTAGAAGCAAACCTTTATAAACATTTACTCATTTTACAAATCCTAGAAGGATTTATGGAAAAATCTTATTTTTGGAAACACTGCTCCTGTGATACATTTACTTATATTTTCTAGCAACATCTTTCTAGCATTGGTCACTCTACTCTGGGCTGTAGTTCCATCACTTATAATGTAAAGTTCCTAGCAACTTTTGAGAAGAGGAAATGTAGAGCTTGGAAAGCTAGTAAAATGGGCCTGTGCTTTGCCACATGCTGAGGAAATGGAAAGGCATCTTAACACCAAAGATCAAAGAGATTTCTTTTACAGTCCTTCCCAGAAGAAAACACTTTTAGAACCTGCCTACCTAGTTACTTTCCATCAGTAACCAAATGGAACTCAAAACTGAATGTATTCATATGCCTGTATTTGCTTAGCATAAGCCAAGAAGAGAATTCCCTTAAAAAAAAAGTGCAAACAGCAACTTTTCTGGTTATGATCACCAAAGATGTTTCTAGGCAATCTAAAGTGTTTCATGTGGCTAAAAAAATAAACAAAAACCTAAATAACTAGCTTAGTTGAATAATTTTCTTGTACAATTTCACAATCTTAAATATTTTCTATAGACAAAAGTGACCTACTCACTTGATTTAACCAGTGTAAAGAATTCATGGTGTTCAAATTAAGCTTTCCATAAGAAAACATCCATAAGCACATTTTACATACATTAGAAACTTGATTGCTTTTCACATCAGGGCAAAGATGTATCATTGTTTTAAATCAAAATTATTACACTTACCTAACTTATTCAAGTATTCAGTTTGCTTAGTAATAGTAGTTAAACTGTTTCTATATACACATTAAAACACAAAAAGTTCATATTTTATTTGGCATTCTTTTTGTATGTATAAACTTATTTCTGAAACCTAGCAACTAAGGACATTATTTTAAACTATCACTTTTTTTCTACACCTTCTTTAACAGATGTATTGAGTTTTCCTTGAATACTTCAGCAAACTAATTCAACAGATTTCTTTTTCCCTTTATACTTTCTGAAACTATTTGGTTCTCTTAAACTTATATATTCTACTTAGTCTGTTGAAGTCAGCCAAAAATGACTCCACTAAATTTACAAGCTCTAAAATCTAACATTATTCGACTCTGAGATAAGCACAGGCACTTAAGCCTATTAACAAGGACATTTAGAAAATATTTCAGGCTCATACAAGAATTTTACCTAATTTTTGAGTCATTTAGGGAATGTCAGAGCAGGTTAACGAAGGACTTCTCCCTACTTTGGTGTTTAAACACTAACCTTAAAAAAAAACAAACACTCGCATGAAAGAAAAAACATCTGAATATTTATCTTGGGGTTCATTTCATCTAACATCAACTTATCTGACCTTTTCTGCTTGTCTCAGACATATACTAGTTATTGCAAATAAGGGAAATCATGGGACCTATGTTTCTTTGGGCCTGGCTTACTTCACTTAATATAATTTTTTCCAAGTCTTTCCATTTCCTAACATATTTATAAGATGATTTCTTTGTTGCTTTGTATGTCCCTCCCCCACAGTATAACTCCTGCTTTCACTGTATTGATGTTGGTATAATCTGTGGAGGGGAAGGGCAAAAACAAATCGTTTAAATAGGGATACAGGTGGACCCATTGCAACAATGAGATGTACAAGTCATTATGTTGAAAAATGAACTTTACAACTTTGGCAGGGGGTGGGAGGGGTGGGAGATGGGAAGGGATGGGAAGAGAAAACAAAGGAGTAGGCAACAATGCTTGATAAGAAACGAATGGATCAAGAAAATGTGGTATATATACACAATGGAATTCTATGCCTCCATCAGAAAGAATGACATTGCCCCATTTGTTAGGAAATGGAAAGACTTGGAAAAAATTATAAGTGAAGTAAGCCAGGCCCAAAGAAACATAGGTCCCATGGTTTCCCTTATTTGCAATGACTAGTATATGTATCTGAGTCAAGCAGAAAAGGTCACATAAGTTGATGTTAGGGAAATGAACCCTAAGATATGTATTCAAATGCTTTTTTCTTTCATGTGATTGTTTCTAACGTATTTATAAGATGATTTTTTTGTTGCTTTGTATGTCCCCTCCCCCCCACGGTATAACCCCTGCTTTCACTGTATTTGATGTTGTTATAATTTGTGGAGGGGAAGGGAAAAAACAAATCGTTTAAATAGGGATACAAGTGGACCCATTGCAACAATGAGATGTACAAGTCGTTATGTCGAAAACGAACTTTACAACTTTGGTGGGAGGGGGAGGAGGGGATGGGAAGGGGAAACAAAGGAGGAGGCCTTAATGCTTGATAAGAAATGTACTCATTATCTTGCCCATGTAATTGCAACCCCTCTGTACAGTATTTTCACAATAAAAAAAAAATGTACCCATTATCTTGCCCATGTAATTGTAACCCTTCTCTATGGTATTTTCACCAAAAAAAAAAAAACCCAAAACACCTTTATCTGTTTTTTTTTTGGTAAGTTTTCTTTTAGAACAAAGTAGAAAGAAAAAAGACTAAGATTTAGGAAGTCATAAAGTCCCAGATATATTAGGAATAATCATCTCCAGTCCACATTCATTCAGTCCCACACAAATTCTGATAAACCTAGCAATTTGTAGTCCTCAATAAGTCTTTAAACCATGTTAAGCTAATTTCAAACTCTCTACAAATCTCTGCTTGCTTTCTCTCCTATTTGATAATGTGTTTTTTGAATTAATTATTTCTGGTAGTTCATATAAATGACCGGTTCTTATACCTAGTTTCCAAGAGGCTGAAAGACAGTAACAGGTAAATGTCACCTACAATATAAAATTACAACTACAAATATTTTAAAAGGCTATTTTCCTTTTGCAAGGGCAGAGGTTTTGTTTCATTTACACACTCACACACATATACATTGTTTCTACAACTTCACCTATGAATCAAAAATAAAGAACAAAACTTACCCATCCGTTGTAGATTATCAAAAATTCCCAAGGAGCTGCTTTCTTTTTAGTAAGCACAGAATCTTCTTTCTTGACTGCTTTTTATTTATTTTTTACCTCATAGCACTATATAAAATGAAAGTAGAAGATTCTACAATTTGTAGAATAAATGAGTACAGGCTACAATATAATTTCCTAATTCTAGAGGTGAGCTTCATTACTAGGACTGACTGAAATATGAATAGATGTTTAGAGACCTCAAAACACAAAAATCAGCTTCCCAACACTGTTTACAAATTAAGAAATAAGGCAGTTGTGCACTTATCAAAACCCGAACCAGAAGACTCATGATGTGTATGGTAGTCACTGAAGGAAGGTAGTTAAAAAACAGGACTTGCAAAGGCCTCAAATTCTAACTGCTGAATGAGGCTTCTCCCTGAAAGCCAGGTGTCTCTGGGGCCAAGAAGTAGCATTTCAGAGGTACAATACCTGTCGTCACATGGTCTTTTCCACCTGTTAAAGAAAAATCAGTGAAAAAATATTTTAAGAATGGCTGCTTATAAATAAGAGAGGGGAATTTTCAGGTGCTAGACAAACTGATTCACAATACAAGTTATTTCAAAGTAACTTTGCCATGTATAAATGTTAGTAAATAGTGTGAAAATTCTTGTTAATAACCTGGTTAGCAAAAAAAGTAACAACTTTCTTAGAAAATCACTGATCTCACATCTTTGAGCACCTTAAAAACCCTTTCTTAATTAAGGATACAGACACACTCCATCACCCCGGGGAAATGTTTCCTTAAATGAAGGAAAAGAAAAACACAAAGTACATTGCTGTGGTCCATAAAGTTCAAGGCAGCAGTCAGGTATGTCATTGACATTTTATGTATAAGGAAAGTCATCTGTTTAAGTGTTGCTCAAGGGTGGGGGTGGGGGTGGGAGTATTTATATATCCAGAATTGAAATCTTTAGTCCCTACTTTTTCTAGTGTTTTGTGACTGAGAGTTTGGGTTAGTGCTTCACAAGTGGTGGCCATTTTTTCCCCAGACATCATCTGGCAGTGCCTATATTTTCTGTTGTAACAATGTGATGGAGAAGAGGAGGGTCATCAATGGGCTGAATCCAGGGATACCAATACATTTTCTACAGTACACAAAGACAGTTTACAACAAAGAACCATGCAGCCCCAAATGCCAACAGTGCCAGGTGACAAACCTTTTCAAAGTTTCAGAAATCTGTGGAATCTGAGTGTGAGAACTCTAAGTTCTGAAAATTTGGACAAGTGACTCCTATCAACTGAACATTTTTTCTTTTGCACCTAAATTTTCTGTTTTTCTACTTGTAGATGTGTCTTAGCAAGCTGATTACCAGTGGCTCATGCCTGTAATCCTTGCTATTCAGGATGCTGAGATCTGTGAATTATTGTTCCAAGCCATCTGGATCAGAAAAATCTATGAGACTATTACCTACAACTAATCACCAAAAAGTCAGAAGTGGAGTAGTCCCAATGGTAAAGGTCAAGCCTTGAGCAAAAAAGAAAAGGGGGGGGGGAATAACAAAATAAAATCTTACCTTCAATACACCTCTTCTTCCTTCTCTTCCCAACAGCCATTTTTTGGGAGTGAAAAGAGCTCACCTGAAATAACACTTGACAAAGCTGACCTTAATCCCTCATTCACAAGCATTCCTACCAACCTCCAAAATTGACAAAATAATGTAGCTCTCACTAGGTCTAAACTTATCCTAAATTGTGAGTATAAACCATCTGGCTCAGACTGGGAATGTGTCTTAGTGGTAGTGCTTGCCTACCATGCATCAAATCCTGGATTCGATTCCTCAGTACCACATAAACAGAAAAAGCTGGAAGCAGCACTGTGGTTCAAGTGGTAGAGTGCTAGCCTTGAGCAAAAGCAGCTCAGTGACAGTACCCAGGACCTGAGTTCAAGCCCCAGGATTGGCAAAAACAATAAAAAACACATTTGGCTCATGCTGAAGACAGGCTTTCTTTCTGAGTCTGGAGTTTTTGACTGCCTACATGATCTACCTCCAAATAAAAACCATAATTTCAAATAAGTTTCCCTTTTTGTGAACATTTCTTATACAGTGTCTTTTTGGGGGAATTAAGTGCATTTTGTGTGACTTCACTGGGACAGTACAGCTGGAAACTTGAGCCTGGTTTTCCCTGTACTTGGTCAAACGTACTTTTCCTCTGATTTTATTCTTCTGTTGCAATAAATCTCAACCATGAATATGACAACATGCTATCTCATGAGCCTTTGTAGTGAAGCAGTTGGGGAAGCCTAGGAGTATTTCCCACACATAATATTATTGTTTCATTTGTGATATGTAAAAGATGATTTACATCTAAGAACATTACATTTAACATACTTTTCATACACTGCATAAAAACAGAATATATTTTTCATTCTCAGTTGATTTCCTAAATCTCACATACACACACACACACACACACACACACATGTGTATGTGTGTATACATATGGATGAGTTAATGTGTCACAAACATCCTATAAATTGAACTGCATTACTTCTTCCCCATGAATTCTCTAGTCATATGGCTTCTTCTTTATCACATCAACAAAATCTCTGGCAAGTACCTTTCCTATTTCTCATGAGATGAATTCTATCATCTCTAAGTTCTGGTATATCTAGTATATAAACAGCTGTTAACTTTCCCTAATATTTTTTTCCCAAACAACAATGGCTTCATGAATTAGTTTAAAAAATAAAAGAGCTTGTGACATTAATACACTGATTTTCAAATCCAGTTTATACTTCCTAACGTGTGTTCTGTGTGTGTGTGTAAGTACATGAGTTCTAGGGCTTGTACTCAGGGCTAAGGCACTATCCTTGAGCTTTTTTGCTTAAGGCTAGCATTCTATCATGTGAGCCACAGTCTCACAGATTTTTCTGCGCAGGCTGGCTTTGAATTGCAATCCTCAGATCTCAGCCTCCTGAATAGCTAGTAGGCTTGAGCCACTGGCTCCAGTGAGATTGTAACTTTTAAGCCATTTGTATCAAAATGTTTTGTGGTCAAGTTTGGGGAATCAAGCAAGCAAAGTTAAACAGATTTCTCAGAGAATTTCACAAAACTATTGATAACATTCATACATATATACAGTCAAGTCATGGGGCTGTCCCTCAGCATTCCAGCTCAAGGTGAACACTCTACCACTTGAGCCACAGCATCACTTTCAGTTTTCAGGTGGTTAATTGGAGGTGAGAATCTCACGGACTTTCCTGGCTGGGCTGGCTTTGAATCATGATCCTCAGATCTCAGCCTCCTGAATAGCTAGGATTACAGGTGTGAGCCACTGGCATCCAGCTTCCATTCAAATACTGAAGGGATACTGGCTAGTACAGTGGATAGGCAGCTCTGCCTGGGCTATGTAAAACTGTAAAGATTTTCACCCAGGAACATCTTAAAGGGACTAATATTTTGCAGTATTATTTTATAGAAATATTACATGTGTTCCTGTTAAGGCAGCAGTTATCACCTCTGGTATCTGAGAAGTCTGTGGACACAGCTCCAAGGAAGTACAAATATTACAACCAACCAGGCATTACTACATTGCTGCATGCAGTCTACTGCCTTTGAGAACAGAAACTGTGTAAAGTATAAGCTAGATACAAATTTAAAATGACACCAAGTAACAATTGTTAATGGATTACCTAATTACAGACCTATCAGTGGGAAAATGACTTTATAATTCTATGAAAGGGAAATGTGAAGTTTGCCAATGTGGTAGTATTTGGTTTGCCACCAAAAAGGCAAAATTAAATTCAGTGAGCTTGAATACTCACGGAGTAGCACATCTATTATTCTGGAAATTGAATTGCGTAGTTCCTAAAAAAAACTCAAATACATGCAGAGTCTAAAAATAAGATGATTGAGCAAGAATTTTTAGAGTAAAACTAAAATATATTACTAAACAAACTCAACAAAGATGTTTGTTAATACTTTATTAGTATTTTCTATTGGACAGAACATAACGCAAACGAAATAAAAAATTTTAACCTTCTTTGTAGTTAATAAAAATAAATGACATTGTGATTGTATCTTCTTTGTTAAAGAAGGAAAGCATTGATAGAACAGTTAGGCACACAGTTGACACTTACTGTACAATGATATGCACAAGGTATCTTTTTAACAATTATAATCCTAAAATGTGCTCATTATCAATTTTCCCTTGTAATACAGGAGCCATACTCCCATAAGCAAAACTTACTACTAATAAAAGAACTTTACAAGGAGTGGGCAGAAGACTTTTAAAACAAGTCCTTAAATAAGAGGACACAGAAACAACGGAATGTAAGTTGTTGGGTTAAGAAGACAGTTTTAAACCACATCTCTAAAACATTAAAAATTCATTTATTTTACAATTACTGAAATACACATGCATTAAAAGAAAATATTGCACAAAATTAAAATTTTAGAATGTGAAATTTTTATTTGTTCTTATTTTAGAAAAATTGGTACACTCCTGGTAGCACTTAACTGTTTTTCTGTTTTATTTTTGCCCCAACACCAGCAGCACAAACTTACTTATAATGAGCAAACTGAAATATTTAACAAAGTCTTAAATGTTTTTATTTTTGTTTCTTTAAAAAAATTAAGGCTAACCGAGTGCATCCATTGGTCAATGGCACAATTGTTTTCAGCAACTATTTGGAACACCCTAATGATAGGAAATGTTCATCTAAGTGCTATATTTAAATTATACAATCAATTCTTAGGTGAACAAACTATGGTTTCTAGTAGTATGTACGTTACCTGAAAAAAAAAAAACCCAAAGAAAAAAATGATTAATTTTGATGGTTTTTGCCTAAAGGCACCACTGACTGAAATCACATTCAAAAATCAACTATCAGAAGACATAAAGCCTCTTCATGAATGTATCTACATATGCAACAAATGCATATTAACCATAGTACACTGTACTTGACTAATGGGTTAAATATTTTACAGAGTTTAACCAAGTCATTCAAAAAGTAACTATTTGAGCACGACCACGGCTCTCTCTGATGTAAAACACAGATGTGCATAGAGAAGGTGCACCACTGATAATATAGACTACCATTTTGACACTTCTGCTTTTGAAATATAAACTCTTTTAAACAAAAATTACTTTAAAAACCCATTTACTCAAACAGTTTTTGGTATGAGTGCAGTTATCTTGCAGGGCTCGAGGAAAATTTGCAGCCTTTCATGACTTTTCTTTCCCTGGTTGACAGCCATTTTTTTTGTTTTTGTTTTTTTTTTCACATTATACAGAAATGCTTTTTCACATGTACACTCTAGGCTCTTGCATGAATTCTTTTTTATACATATTCTTAGATTTATTCATGTCAAAAATATATTTGAAATGGGCAGGGGTATATCTGACAACCATTGCACTTACGGCCATGTTTATGCTTCATATAGACATGTTACACATATCCCACTTTTAAAGCACAGAGAGGAGCTGAGGCAGGGGATAACACTGGGGCAGAAGACACATTTCTTCCACCAGAGCCTCTAGAACCTTTACTCACTTGCAAGTTGCAATGAAAGGAATTTTACTTATGTAATTCTCAACATGCAACACATGCTGAATATCTGCATACTGTAAGTATGCACACAGCATTATTAATAAATATAATTATTATAAGTTTAAAGGAAGGCTTTATCTGTTAACAAGCTTCACTTTGTAAATAACATCTACGTGAAAACAAGACACTATTATCTTGTTCTACTCTTAAAAGCTCCCAAATAACTGGGATACCAATTCTCTGTCCCTTTATCTTAAGCACCCAACGCTCTTTTAACACCAGGATACTGGCTCAGTGGTCTGATAAATAGCTTCACTATTTTAAGGTTTTAGTGTTAAATAGTTTAGAACAAAAAAGCCGATACATCCAAACTCTTAGTAAATGGAAATATTTTAAACTCTGCAGAAGCCCTGCATACAAGAGATATGAAGACTTTCAAGATGAAAAAAATAAAGGGAAAACTAGGAAATGGAGAGGCTTTAAAACTGGAAAAGGTATCTTGTTCATTGTTGGTAGAAAATTATCTCAGGGACTTAAATGTATACACCAAGGGGTTTTACATACTAGCTTTATTTAGAATTTACATTATGTGAAATATAAATAAAAGCATATTTTAAAAATAGTACAGTTCTGTTTTCATTATTGATTTTATATATGTACACATAATAGAATTAGGAATCTGTATGTTTACATATGACTAACAAGCTCATTAATCCTCTGATTTGCTATTTTTGTAGTTACCTAAGGCATGTCTAGATCATATAACTTAAAAATATCATATGGTAACTTTCAGTTGAGATATGTGTTCCTTCAATTTCTATTTTCTTTTAGGGCAGAATGCACTTGGCAGTTCTTCCAATAAATTCTGCTTCTGTATAATCAGTTATCTGTTAAAAGACAAAACTAGTAATTTTGAACCATAAATGAGGGTTACCACATGCTTCCTTTTGCAAACAGAATGCTAAAATAAAACAATAACCATAAGAACAAAACGGAGCCCTTACAGCACATAAGAATCAATCAAAAATTTGCTTTATGTCAATGAATAATAAATCTAACCAAATTCTGATTTTGGTTGGTTTTATATTATAGTGTTATGTCACAAAACTGTAATATTTCTTACTTTAGGGGCATTCTTTCATTTTTTCCAGACCTGAAACCGTTGTCCCATTCACCTGGCTAATCCACACAATATCAAAATGCTGATGTATACCTAAAAACTCATTAGGAAAAACATCTTTCCAAAATGTACACTGCACAGTCTCCAACTATTAAACAAATTAGTCAATCTGGACCATGATTTTGTGCTTTCCTTGGCTCTCATATATACATTCTGGCACTTTGTCACTGCTTGAGAATGCTGATTAATTTGAAACAGAAGAGACCAACTCCATTCTTGCATGAGATGGGGGCAATATCCTCTCAATGTTGCAAATTATGCACCAAATCATTTAAGACAGAAACTTCTCTTGGTGGTGGCTGAATTATAGATGAAAAGGAGATGAACAAGAGGCTTATGGATGTATTAATAATCTATTTGGAGACACTAAAAGACTGGTGCAAACACAACAGTATGAGTTGGGCCCCCAGAAGATCGACTGTCCATACCATAAATCCTTGACACAATGAACACCAACTTCATAGATTGGAGTGTCACCTTTTCTGTAAAGAAGGCGCTTGAGTAGTTTGAAGTTTCTGTTTGTATTTTTGCATCTGCTTTGATCGTGAATGCAGTTTGTTGAAAAGTTCACGAAATTTGTACTGTGGAAATAAGGTTTCTAAAAAGCCTTCCAAGAAGACATACACCATTCTCCTATTTAATTGGTTGTGCTGAAACATTTCAAAAACACGAAGAATACCTTTCCGTGTTGTCTCAGCTCCAATAATGTGCTTCAGTTCATCTAAATGGAGGGGAAAAATACACATAATTCATCACTCAGATAAAGGAAACTACACAGAAGAGTAACTGATAAATAACAGGCATCCAGTTAATGAGTTTTACCACTGTTTTATAACTGACACTTAAAATATATACCTGTCTACATTGCATGCATGCACATACCAAAGACTTATAGAACAGGCAATGAAAATTGATGTTATACAGCAGAGTTAACATCCAGACTCAGAGATTCCAAATTACAGTCACAATCCTGACCAAAAAAGTTGGAAATCAGCTGTGTCTCAAAGTGGTAAAGTGCTAGCCTTGAGCACAAAAGTTCAGGGACAGTGGCAGGCCCTGAGTTCAAACCTCAGGACCAGCATGCACGTACATAAATACATACATCTATACATACATACACACATAAACACACACACACACACACAAATGTATAAGAACTTGCCAGGTGCCAGTGGCTCATGTCTGTAAACTTGCTTCTAGCTACTCAGGATCTGAGGATACTGGTTTAAAGTCCCTTGGGTCAAGAAAGACTGTGAGACTCTTCAATTTACCACCACACACACATACACATACATACACACACGCACACACATATATACACACACACATATACACACAGAGGTATCACAACATTTATAGTGAGATATGATGAAAGGTTCCCTTCATGGAAATGAAAACTGTAGTGGAGTTTTCTACTATAGTGATTGGTACTAAGAGATGATTAGTCATCAACAGACAAATGAGCAATAAATGCAAAAGCAATGTATTTAAACATAAAGGTAGGAAAATTTGGCTACACTTTAGAACTTCTGTAATAGAGAACAGAGAAAAGAATGAAGTAGTAAATATGCTATGACTATGATACAGACAAGTTGGCCACAGACAGCATCAAGTTAGTATAGGTTCTGAGATGGTGGACCACTACAGATGATCATTCTACAAATATTCATCATCAACACTCTAGTAAGAGCCATTTTGATGCATTAGAAATATATAACTTCCTAAAAGTCTATATATAAATATGTATACAATATAATTTAAAGCAAACTTGCAAATTTACAAAAAAAAAAGCAGGGAAGAGATTAGTATATAAATCATAGTACGATATGTACCCTTATTTCCTTCACATGTTCACAACAGTGTCATCTTCTTAGTGAGGTGCTCCCTGGCTACGCTTTCTCCAACTGCAACTCACCTGACACTGCGCCTCTTCCTTTCCTGGCACTTACCACTATTTGACATAGGCTATGCTTTACTTATTTGTTTTGTTTGTATTTCCTTACCAAATATAAATTTCAAGAAGACAAAGAAATATGCTAAAAGTGTCCGATATATGATAAATTTTCAATAAATATTTGCTAAGTGAAGTAAGATTTTGTTCAGCTATTTAACTTAATTCTTTTTTTTGGGGGGGGCCTGGTCGTGGGGCCTGAACTCTGGGCCTGGGTAGCGCTCTACCACTTGAGCCACAGCGCCACTTCCGGCTTTTTTCTTTTTGCTTATGTGGTGCTGAGGAATCGAACCCAGGGCCTCAGGAATGCAAGGCAAGCGCTCTACCACTGAGCCACCTTCCCAGCCCTTAACTTAATTCTTATAGCATAATCTGATTTATTGTAATAGTAAATAATATGGCTATTTAAATTCTTTTTCCAATGTTATTTTTCTTGCTTTATACCACCAGTACAATCATCTGTCAGATCTCTAACTTAATTAACAGAAATATAACCATTACAAATGTAAATGGACTCTTGTTCTGTAAGTAGATATTGATATTTAATGGTATTTTATATCTACTTTGTATTTTCTTTTTGTGTGTGCTGGTACTAGGGCTTGAACTCAGAGCCTGGGTGCTATCCTTGAGCTTTTTTGCTCAAGGCTAGAATACTACTCCTTGAGCTACTATTCCACTTCCTGTTTTTTTGGTAGCTAACTGGAGATAAAAGCTAGCTTTGAATCACAATCCTCAGATCTCAGCCTCCTAAGCAGGTAGGATTATAGGCATGAGCCACCAGCTCCTATTTTCTTTATTTAATAACTTAATTCCCAAAATGTGTGAAAGCAACAAAAGGAAGTAGTCAAAAGAATAAGCTTTCTAGTCACTCAAACAAAAGGCAGAAATACTGTTCCTTAGCAGCTATCAATCTTGGGATGGTTACTTCCAGCTTCTGCTTCCTTATACACAAAACTGTGGTAACAGTGACTCACTTAATTTGACTGTCACAAAGATTAGTTAAGAAAGTATGTCTAGTATATAGTCAGCCATGAAAATAGTAGTTATCTTCATGAATTAGAAAGAACCACAAATTAATGAGCTTTAACCAAATATATCCACTTACCTGGCATGATGGCAAGTAATTTAGTTTTTCCTGCAATTCTTGTTCTCATTCGAATAGCTTTATCTCTGCATGGAACAGTCTCTGCTAAAATGCCATTTGGCCAAAATGCATCTCTATTTAAGAAGATTGAATAAATTTCGTAAGCATTTTCACTTTCTAATGATACAAGTTGATAAAATTATTCCAAATTTCTATGGAAAACACAAATATAAACAGAAAAACAAGTATTTCTAAAATTTTACATAGGCATAATTCAATAAACATCAACTAAGTACATGATTTGATTTTAGATATAGAAGAATATATACAGGAAAAATAACAGATTACACCTGTCCAATAGAGTACAAACATTAATAAAGACAACAAATGAAATAACAGAAGAACTAACATATTGTAACTATTAAAACTAAAAAATGGCAGCTGTTGACTTCATCCCATTCTGTGACCCTACCTCTTAGTTGTGCCATTCTACTTCCCTTGTAACTAAGCCAACAGGACAAATTCTTACAAATCAATTAAGTACAATGGTCTTTATGTATATAATCCATTCTCCTTTACTTTCACAGGATGCTTGATTCTTGTCCCCTATGTGTAGCAGAAAGGCAAGAACTGAGCACAGCATCTTTGCTTCCATCTGGGTAAAACTGTTCTGAGAAAGGGAGATTCCCAAGCAATCAATCTCAATCTTGCACTAAAAACACTGGGAATTTTTATATCTCATAATTGCCCAGGCTTCCTACCTGACTAAGACATGTATCTCTAGAGAAGGAATCCAGGCACTGTTACAGTTCTCCAGCTGATTCAAATGTATAACTAAAGCTGGGAACTACTACTAAGGAAGAACATCATTCATAACTGAGTGTTGGCTAGTGGTTAAGCACTGGCTAATGTGTAAGTCCAGCTACTTCAGGGGTAGAGATAGGAAGTCCAATAACAATCCAGGAAAAAGGTTACAACTTCTTCTAACTTAAATAACAAGCAGGGTGTGCTGGTATATTCCTGTAATCCCAGTACCTGAAAAGTATAGGTAAAAGGATCATGGTCTGACCTACCTGAAAAAATGAAAACAAAAGGTCTGAAGATCAAGTGGTAGAGCACTTGCCTATGAATCACAAAGCGCTGAATGGAAACTCCAGTACTGGAGAACATCATTTACATATGCTAAATATGTGGGAGTATGAAGATGAACTTTTAGAAACAGTATGGATACAGAGGGAGAAACTACACTTTAGAGTACAAAAAAAACTCTTCTCTTTCCATCATGAGATATTATGGGAAAACTACTTTCCTTTTTAATCTTCAACTTACTCATTATGAAATAAGAGGAAAAAGCAACTACTTTATAAAACAGGATAAAGTCAGAAAGTATATATAAATACATAGCTATTGTTCAATACTAACAGCTTGCTTTTTGCTTTCTTTCCCTACCTTCTAATACATGATCTCATGAGTTTACACTTACTGCTTATCTTCACTTTTATAAAGAAAGTTTACTTCCCTCCCTATTGTCTGTGCTTCCTTGGAGGAAACATATTTTATCTCTCCGCAGAGTGCTGGGCACAGAGGACAGTCTTAATACTTTAGCAGCATGACCATATGAATTAATGTATCAATACTACTTAATGTATATCATTTTCAAAAATTCAAGTATTTAATTATTAATAATACTATTGTGACATATACACATAAAGTTCTAAAACACCACTTAAAATCAAAATTAGTAAATATGACTGAGAAATACAAATCCCTCAAACTAGCCACTTAATTTATGACCATGCTATTTCTTGTTAATATTTTAATTAACTTAGCATTTTGATAAAATGTAGCCTATCTTAAGCATTTATCTTTCACACTTACCCTATTCTGTTTTTGTTGTTGTTGTTGGTCATGGGGCCTGAACTCTGGGCCTGGGGACTGTCTCTCAGCTCTTCAGCTCAAGGTTAGTGAGCTACCACTTGAGCCACAGCACCATTTCTGGCTTTTTCTGCTCATGTGGAGCTGAGGAATTGAACCCAGGGCCTCATGCATGCAAGGCAAACACTCTACCACTGAGACACCTCCCCAGCCCCTATTCTGGTTTTAAAAAACAAAGATTAACAGGTCCCTAGGAAAAACGTTTATCCTAATTTCTAAGTCTTTGCTCAGAAATGATAACTAAAACCAACTTTATGTCCAGGAAAGAAACAAAAGTAGTGAAAGTTAATTAGTTAAAACAATGCTAAACTCTGTACTACCTGAAAGAAGTGACTGTGTCTTAAGATATACCTGAAACGTTTCACTGAATCGGCTACTTGTTCTGGTGAAGTCATCCAATCGACATGGTCAACTATTTTTCTAAAAGTAAAGAAAGTTAAATAAAAAAGCTTAAAATAGTATAAAGTGAGTAAAATAAACAGGACTTTCATGGAGCAAGAGGGTACATGCTACTTCTGAGAGCAGGAGATTTCTTTAATGATCTTAAAAGGCCCATAGGCCAAGACTCAAGGTGGCTCAAGCTTGGCATCTTAAGTTACTTGGGAGCTAGAATTGGGGAAATCAGTTTCCAGATTAAATAATAATGACTCCATCTCATTTAATAACTGGGCCCAGTTGTATGCACTTGTTGTTTCACATACAGGGGGAAGCACAAATGATGGGCTCAGTGGCATGTTTTCAGCACCCCCAGTGATGCAGAAAAAGACAAGTAGGAGGATTACAACCTGAGCAGAGCTTATTGAAAATAAATGATATAAAAGAAGCTAGAAATGTGAATCAAATGATAGAGCTTAGTTCAAACCTCAACACTGGAAAAGAAAAAAATAGACCAGAGAAGAAAGTCTATTTATAAAGGTTGAGTAATAGACTTCGTGAAGTAAAAGTTAAAAGCTAATCAAACTCCATGCAAGAAAAAACAATGAAGAAAAAGTGGTACCTATTAATCGTGTCACCATAGGTGGCTCTAATAAGCTGCTGGAGTAGGTTTTTGATGTTTCTTCGCAACCACTGATTTCTCTCTTTCAAGTCAAATACTTCATCCATTAGAAGCAGCATGACCCTAAGTGGAATATTGTCATCCACCTGACAAAATAAGGAAAGAAAGAAAATAAATTTATTGGAGGTAGCTATTTACTATGAATGGTTACTTTTATAAAACTGTTGTGTTTTACCATAGGCAAGTTACCGAAACAGCCCAGATGCTCTACAATAGATGAGCAGATAAAAATGTGGTATATACACACAATGGAATTTTACTCATCCATTAGAAAGAATATTATGTCATTTGTAGGGAAATGAATGGACCTAGAACAAATCATGTTAAATGAGATAAGCCAAGCTCAGAGATCCAAATGGTACATGTTTTTCTCTCATATATGCAAGCTAGATCCAAAATACAACTGGACAACTCATACAGGACTCTAGGCATTCGCACAGAGACCAAAAGAGGATACTCTTAGGGAAGTAAACCAAAGGCATATACTTCCTCTGAACATTTAAAATACTATTTATTGAAATGAATTTCAGGAAATGGAAACATGGGTTTTTATTGATGGTGGTGATGGTAGTGGTGTTTGTTTTTGTTTTGGGTGCTTTTGTTTTCTTTTCTTTTTTTGGTCTTTTTAGGGAGAACATAAAGAGGAAGACACAGAAAGGGAGGGAGAAATGGTGAACAAATACCATCATAGTAAAATGTGAAAAATGAACTATGCAACTTGTGGACAGGAGGGAAAATGAGGGAAAGCAAAGGAAAGGATGACACTGTCAAAAAAACAAAAAGTCAAAAGCTATGTATATATGACCATATAAGATGATGTTAAGTGAAATGAACCCCAAGACAGGGACACAGGTGGTTTTTTTCTTTCTTGCTATTGTTTTTAACGTACTTATAATGTACTATGTGATTTTTTTTTGTTTCTTTTGTATGTTCTTCTCCCATGGCATAACCCATATTTTCACTATATTTGATTGTGGTGCCCTGCATCTTGTATATACACTTTTCTAATTTGGGGAGGGAAAGGGAAAAAACCAAAATGCTTAAATAGGGATACAGGTTGACCTATTGTAACAATGAGATGTACAAGACACTATGTTGAAAATGAACATTACAACTTGTGGGGGGGGGAAGGAGGAGTTGGGGACGTAGGGAGGGAAGGGATAGTAGGGGAAAAAACAAAGGAGCAGGTAACAATGCTCAATAGGAAATGTACTCATTACCTTACTCATGTAACTGTAACCCCTCAATACACTATTTTTACAATAAAAATGTATTTAAAAAAAGAAATGTACTAATCATCTGACTTATGAAATGGTAACCCCTCTGTACAATATCTTAATAATGATACTAAAATTATATTTTAAAAAGATTTTTAAAATATTGCATTATGATCTGCAGAATGAAAAATATTTCTAATAGCTATACTAGAATACAGTATTTTACAAACCTACAGTAATGACTAAAAACTAAAATTGGAGTTATCTTTTTTTTTTTTTTTTGGTCAGTCGTGGGGCCTTAACTCTGGGCCTGAGCACTGTCCCTGGGCTCTGCAGCTCAAGGCTAGTGGTCTACCACTTGAGCTACAGCACCACTTCCGGCCTTTTCTGCTTATGTTGTGCTGAGCAATCGAACTCCGGGCATCATGCATACAAGGCAAGTTCTCTACAACTGAGCCACCTACCCAGCCTCTGCAGTTATCTTTTACAAAAATATGAGCTCATGACAATCTAGGAAAAAATGATTTTGCTCTCCTTTTAGAGATGCTGAACTATGTATTGGTTTGATCATGTAAATAATACATCCTCTGTTCTTTACTGTGCATTTTTTATAATAAAAAATTTTTAAATGTGGGAAAGGGTGAGGAGGGAGGGATGGATAAGAATGTTAAAAGGGGTGACACTGATCAAGAGACACGACAGTCATAAACTGCTCTACTGAATGGCAACTCCTTTAACTATTAGAAGAAAATTATTTTCTTTTATAAAAGGTTGTTTCTATATTTTTCTCATGCCATAAGACTCTGTAGGGACAGAATTTATGATGGTGAAGAAACTTACGGCAGCACAGCATTCAAGTTGTGGCATGGGTATTACTGGCTGTTTATAGCCAGGTCTATAGAGAGAATCTGCATTGGTCAGATAAGAACTCATGAAAACTCCACTTCCCACTTCCTTTGTAATTAGTAATGTAAGTAAAAGCTATAATATTGATATCTTCCATCACTTTATTTTTCTACAAGGAAATATGTTTTGGTGATGGATGGTAGTCTCAAAAAGGAAAAATCCAAATTTTTAATGCTTTATTAAAGAAGGAAATGGAAAAAAAGAATAAAATATTCTTAATATCTACAATTAAAATATAACATTGAATAATTGATTTTATTTAATAATTTGAATATATCTGACATATTTTCAGGAAAAAGGAGCTGAAATCTGACCCAATACACAAGTAAAGTTCTATTATAAAAAGCACATTTCACTAAAGTACTACAATTTTCTTTAAGTTTTTAAACTACTTAAAACTATATGCTTCCATTGTGGGAGTAGTTAATTAATGATGTAAAAATGAATGTAAGGTAAGTGGAATTGTATGCTTTAACTACTAAGATACTCTTTGCAATTATTTCCTTATTAATGCTGTAATTTAAGTGTTCATAAAAGCACAAGCTACACATTTTCATACCATACTTTAAATATTTTCTTGAGTGCATTTTCGATCACCCAAACTGGGAGCTTATAGCTTATAGAAGAGGGGAGGGAGGGCTCATTTCATTACAAAGGCACACTAAAACTGCTCAGTTCTGATTAAAGGTATTTACATGAGTTTGGTGGCAAAGGACAATTATAACAAAAATTTAAAAAAAGAACACAAGCAACACTCACAAAATGTTCTAAAAATAAAGCAAAAGAACAGTTTCCATCTAATAGAACAGAACCCAGAAGCAGATGTAAACATGGTACCATACTGATAACCTACTCTGTGATAGGAGAGAAAAAGTACAACCTGACTCCTAAATTCCATTCCAAAAAGAAAATAAAACCTAGATATAAATGTTAGCATAGAAAAACCAAATTGATTAGTAAAGAAAATCCTTGTGACCTTACAAGAGGCACAGATTATATATAAAGTACAAAATAGTACAGAGTAAGAGCTCTCTCTCTCTCTTACACATACACACACACCAAAACTCAAAATCATATTATGTAAAGCACCTTTACTAATCACAAAGAAAAGCAGCTGGGCATATAGAAAAATGGACAAAAGTTCTAGACAGTCTAATAAGACAAGACACCAAATGGCCAGTATGTATGAAAAAAGTTCAACATTTCAGTAGTCATTAGAGAAATGTGTACTCACATGAAATACAAAAATAGAATGGCTAAGATTAAAAAGACCCAATATGCTGGCTATTGTGGAGTAATGCAACTCTCATGTCCTAATGGTGGCATTGTAAGTAGTAGAGACAGTTTGATAAACTATGTGGCAGCTATCTCCAAAACTAAATTTATGCATACCCTCTGACTGAGGAATTATATTTCTAACTACACACTCAACAGCAATATGCACATGTTATTTTGGTAATAAGACAGATACTAAAATGTTCAAGGAGTTCTATGCATATGTAATAAGAAAATTTTGTCAAATTTGCATAGAAATTTATGAAGTACTAAAAAACTGCAAGAATAAAGAAACTAATATCACACAAAACAGCAAGGGAATGTATCCATGTTGAGTAAAGATAGCCAGACTTAATATGCTTTATAGTTTCACTAATAGCAAAAAAGCAGATAAAGTTAAGATAGTGATCATCCTTGGTGTGAAAAAGGTCATGCATAAAAAGAGAAGAAGAGCTTTCATTTTCTGTTTTTCCATTAAAGCACTGATTGCATGAACACAGTCTGTAAGAATTTATCCAGCTTACCTAATACAGTGTGTACACAGGAATGACACATGTACATACCATATTTGTTAAAAAGTTAAGATCTGTTAAAACCTCTGTACTTATTACCAAGAATAAAATTAACTCACATTATCATCAAGTTGAGCTGAGACTCGACAATGTTCAGGATCTGAATCAGTCTTTGTAATTAAAGGAGGCACCTAGAATTTTAAAAAAGAAAAAAAAATGTAATGTAAAGACATTCAACTGTGACAAAGAAAAGTAATACACCAAAGCATTTGATTGATTTTTTTGCACCAATATTTGAAAGAAAACTTAGGATGTTTATTTAAGTATTCGAAGATTTTTTTGCATTAAAAGAAAAAAACTAACTTCAGTTTTAAGGTGAGACATTTGTCTTTATTGTCAACTTGATTGGACAGAGAAATGCCTAGAGATTAGGAAACCACATATTTGCTTGTGCCATAATACTGTTTCTCAGAAAGAACTAAGGAAAGGGGAAGGTTGGGGAAGAAGACCATCCCAAAGGCTGGGATAAAAACATGAAAAGCAAGAAAGCCAGCAAAGATATTCTTCCCCTCATCTGGTGGTCTGTCTCTATCTTCCCCCTTTCTCCTTCTCCACTTCTCTGTGCTTTCTTGGATGTATTGCTCTGCCAAACTTCCCATGTACCCCCATACACCATGATCCAATGATTTATTTTTGTCAGCTAAAATAAATCTTTGCTCCTTTAAAGTGTTTTTGTTTTACCAAGTATATTGTAATAGTGAGGAGAATGCTATTAACACAGAGGGAGAGACTTCTTAGTCAGACTCTATTTTGTAGAAAAACTTAAAACTAAGAAAGGTTAAATAACTTGAAGACCAAGTCAAGAACATGACTATAATTACCTTTCTTACCACAGAAGTTCTCAACAGTATGCTAAAAGGTTTAATAAATTGATCAAATATTGGACAAGCTAATGAAAAAGGACAGACAATCCAGACAGACTCTTCTATGCTACCCGGAGATCTATGTACAGTGACAGAAGGACCCAGACACTGACCATGTGGAAAGGACTCTTCCTTCCTTTATTCTGGTAGTGCCTCCATGAGTGAATAAGAAAAAAAACTGACTTCGTTTCCTGAACAAAAACTAATACAATGCACTTACAAATAGCACTTACTTATTTTTATTTGCTAAGCAACTTATAGCACTGCACAATAAGAAATGGAATATTAAAAAAGGTACATAAAGTATCAACTCGTTTTAAATATTCATTTTAAATGAATTTTAAAACTACCATAGCAAGCTGACAAATGACTAGACCTTTTAGTATCTATTTCTGATAGGAATTATTTATTTTTCTCATAAGACTATTATTTCACGTAAGACTATGTGTTTGAAGAACTTTGGAAAAGGGGTCAATATATAGTACTTGACTTAAAGGTTCATTTTAGGTATTACTGAAAATGTTTTCTTACCTTGAAGAATGATTGCTTTATGTCTTGACCTAATCTTTCCGACATTTTTCCCATGTTGTCTGACATTTTAGTCATTCCTTCTGCCAAGCTGTCAGGAAGGGATTTAACTGCATTTGAAACATTCCTCATAGAATTTCGAAGAGGATTTACAAAAGTGTCCATCTAAACAGAAAAACATATGTAGGATGATTTCATTGTTTCATTCATGTTACTCATTTTAAAAGTATAGAAAAATAAAGAATGCAATATACAAAATGATTTTCCAGTATTTATTATATCAGTACATAATATAGAATGATTGTCTTGGATGAGTCTTAAAAATGAATCTTTATATTTACATAAATGATTTAAAAATTGACGGATGAGGTTATTGCTGGAGAATGAATATATCACTCACTGTCCTTTTTCTGGAGGGGAGGACAAAGTCTCATTTTGTTAGCTTTGAATTTGTTATATAATCCAGGTTGAACAGTAACTCATGATCCTCCTGTCTAAGCCTCTTGAGTGGTAGGTTTATAGGTATGTGCTATTGTGCCCAGTCTCAGTCATCTTTACTAGAGAAATATTGAATGACAAGGTTTTCCAAGTCTTTCCATTCCCTAACAAATGGGGCAATGTTATTCTTTCTGATGGAGGCAAAGAATTCCATTATATATATGGGGCATCTGAGTTCGTTCCATATCTTATCTATGGTAAATAATGCTGCAATAAATATAGTTGAGCTAGTAGCTTTACTATAGTCTTGTTTGTGATCATTTGGGTAAATGCCCAAAAGTGGGATTTGCTGGGTCATTTATATTAAGTGAAGTAAGCCAGGCCCAAAGAAACATAGGTCCCATGTTTTCCCTTATTTGCAATAACTAGTATAAGTCTAGACAAGCAGAAAAGGTAAGTATGATCATGTAAGATGATGTTAAGGAAAATGAACCCCAAGATAGGGACACACTGGTCTTTCCTGCTATTGTTTTTAACATATTTAAAATGTACTATGTGATTTTTTTTTGCTTCTTTTGTATGTTCTTCCTCCACGGAATAACTCCTGTTTTCACTGTGTTTGATGTCAGTGCTCTGAATCTTGTATATTCTTTTTTCTAATTTAGGGAGGGGAAGGGAAATAACAAAATCCTGAAATAAGGATATAGGTTTGACCCACTGTAAGAATGAGATAGATGTACACGACACTATGTTGAAAATGAACTTTACAACTGGTGGTGGGTGGGTGGGAGGAGTTGGGGAGATGGGGAAGGAAGGGATGGTAGGGGAAAAACAAAGAGGAGGTAACAATGCTCGATAGGAAATGTACTCATTACCTTACTCATGTAACTGTAAACCCTCTGTACAGTATTTCTACAATAAAAAAACATTAAAAAAAAGGTTTTCCAAAACAGAAACTCATGCAAGTAGAATTATACACTTCAACCACAACTAAAAGCAAGACGTCAACAGATGCTGAAAAGAAGGTAAAATAAATGAAAAACTAAAATAAGAATATTCTAAGAGTTTATAGGCCAAGCTCAGAGAGACAAATGGCACAAGTTTTCTCTCATATGTGGAAGCTAATCTAAAATATTATAACCTATACAAGACTACACATTCACACACAGTCAGACTAAAGAAGGATACTCTCAGAGAAGAAACCCAAAGGTGTAACTTCTCTCTGAACATTAAAAATACTATTTACCAAAATGAACTCTAGGAAATGTAAACATGGGGTTTTTTTTTTTTTGGTAGTGATGTGCAGTTTGTTTTTGCATTTGCTTTTCTTTTTTTTCATGAGAGTAACGGGAAAGCACAGAAAGGAACAAATGCAGTTAGGCTATGCAGTTATACACTGTAGAAAATGACCTGTGTAACCTGAGGGCAGATATGGGAGGGGAAAAGAAAGGATGACACTGTCCAAAACAGAAATACACTCATTATTTGACTTATGAAATAGTAACTAACCACTCTGTACAAAATCTTCATAATGACAATAAAAATATTTTTAAAGAAAAGAATAATAAAAAAGGACGAAAAAGAAAAAAATTCATTACATGCTCAATTAGTATTTATTAAGGCAATGATGTCTATTCAAAAACAAAGATCAGTTAAAATTAGACAGGTAAATCATATTTTAGTAAGGCAGAGTATAAGAATTATATTTAAAAGAAAATGTGATGAGATATATAAAAAATTTCCAGAGTGCAGGACACAAAATTTTTTGTGACTGTAAACATGTCAAATCATTTCAAGTAAGAAACGGAAAGAAATCTAAACAAATGAAGAAGCTTCACAAGGGACTCTTTTAAAGGCAACTTCTAACAAAAGTGAAAAAAAAAATTTTAAACGTTGAACAAAACTTAATAATAATCCCCAGATAGTGTTATCACATGAAAACTACTAAGGAAAATAAATTAAATTCTATGTAAAAGAGAAAAAAAGGAAATAATAACAAACTAAACATCATTGGTTTACATGGAATGAAGCACAATGTTAATAGAGAAAAAAGACAAATCTCCTTCACTCCATTGATGCATTCATCAAGAAAAACTAGAAGAGCTGAGACAAGTAGTAATGACAACCTGACATGAATCTCAAGATAACTAAAAAATGGCTGGGAGTTTTGATTATTCCTGCAGCTTAAGCTGAGCCAACAATACAACAAATGTGTGTCATGGAATTTCCAATCTACAGTGAATGTCTGTCAATAGAAGAAGCAAAGTAGAGAACAAGGAAAAATTACCACATTATAATAGATACAAAGATTTAAAAATTAAAGTAATTCTTGTGTGTGCTGTGTAAATGTACAGATGTATATATGTGTACATGTATATCTATAATTTTATATAATTATTTGGTTCACCAGAATGGAGATCATTTGAATACTTTCAAACATATTTTAGATATTTACATGTTTCATATGTTATAGCAGAGACTTGAGTGCATCTAAAACCTTATGAATTGGTTAAATGAACATACGCTATCAATGCACTGGGCTGAATTACCACTGGATACTATTAACAAGTAAATATCACAATATTTGTGAGATATTAATTAAAAACTTATGAGTTTACCATTTCAGACTTGAAGATTTAGTTTCTCTCTCCCCCTATGTGTTTGTATATGTGCAATTTCTATGACTTAAGGACAAAGTATCATATTTGAAAGGGAATGGGGTAAATCAAGGGAGAGAAAACCTCCACCTATAACTTTGATTACTAAGTAAATGTAAGAGAATCTCATAAGCACATTACAGTCTGTCACTGGATGATTACATTTACAAAGCAATATTTAGATTAAAACAGATGTTCAAAATGAAAATAAATAAAAGTTCAAATTACCAGGCATTGGAGTAAATTGGGAATTATCAATAGATAAATTTAAGCTGACTTATATAGATGCTATCTGTCCATTTTATTACTAATTCAACCACATTCTTTGTATTGGCAACAAGATATATTATGGAATTATTTTTCATTTAAATGTTTTAATGGAAGTTGTATATAAGGTTACTTCATTCCTTCATTTTCTCAATTGTTTCTTCCTTATATTTGCCCTTTCCTTTCCTACTTGGTAAGATTTTGCTTTCCATTCTAGGATCTTTTTCCAGTTTTTGTCTAGTTTCAGCCTGGTGTTAACCACCTTAGTGGGGTGAATGCCCACATGGACAGTGGTGCCCCAAACTGCCTTTTCCTACTGTACCTGGTCAAAGTAGATGACATACTTCTTCGTGTAAATCTAAACCACTTTGCCAATCTGCTCACCTTTATAGTGCATTCAAAGAACTTGTACCTCATCATCCTTTCATTTGGGCATAGATCACATATTATACTTCTGTTTCAGCTGGTTTTCTTGGTGATAAAGAGTCTCATGGACTTTCCTGCTCGGGCTGGTTTTGAACTGAGATCCTGAGATCTCAGCCTCCTGAGTAGCTAGGATTACAGGCCTGAGCCAATGGCACCTGGCTTATTAAGTGGGTCAAGATAATCTTGATGACTGCAATCATGATTTATAAAAAATATCTAATCATGAGAAGAGCGCAGGTGAAATCAGGAAAGCAGCCCCTTTTGTAATAGCCCCACAAAAAATAAAATACTTAGGCATAAACTTAACTAAAGAAGTGAAGGACCTCTATGATGAAAACTTTAAAAACCTGAAAAAGAAAATTAAAGCAGAACTAAGGAAGTGGAAAAACTTCCCATGCTCCTGGATTGGGAGGATTAACATCGTGAAAATGGCAATACTGCCAAAGGTTATCTACAAATTCAATGTGATACCTATCGATATCCCAACCTCATTCTTCATGGAAATAGAAGAAGCAATCCAAAAATTCATATGAAACAATAAAGATCCTGAATAGCAAAAACGATCCTTAGCAGAAAGAACAGTGCTGGAGGAATATCAATACCAGACTTCAAACTCTACTACAAAGCCATAGTAATCAAAACAGCTTGGAACTGGCACAAGAACAGACCTGAAGACCAATGGAATAAAACTGAAGACCCAGAAATGAACCCACAGACCTATGGCTAACTAATCTTTGATAAGGAAGACAGAAAAATAGAATGGAAGGAAGACAGCTTCTTCAATAAATGGTGCTGGCAAAACTGGTTAAACACCTGTACAAAACTAAAGCTAGATCCTTATATATCAACCTACACCAGAATCAACTCCAAATGGATCAAATACCGCAAAGTCAAAGCAGACACCCTGAAAACATTACAGGAAGGAATAAGATGAACTCTAGTGCTCCGTGGCACAGGCCAAAATTTTCTTAATAAAGACCCAGAAACAACAAATCAAAGAAAGGTTGGACAAATGGAATTGCATGAAACTAAAGAGCTTCTGCATGGCAAAGGACATGGCTAGAAAGATCAATGGGAAGCCCATGGATTGGGAGAAGATCTTCACTAGCTATACAACAACAAGGATCTCATATCTAAAATATACTTAGAAGTCAAAAATTAAATCCTCCAAAAACAAAATCTCAAAGAAACAACCACTCCATCAACAAGTGGGCCAAAGACTTAAAGAGAGACCTCTCTGAAGAGGAAATAATGTCTAATAGACACATGAAGAAATTCTCAACTTCTCTAGCCATAAAAGAAATGCAAATCAAAACAACATTGAGATTCCACCTCACCCCAGTTAGAACAACAGATGCTGGATGGGATGTGGCCAAAAGGGAACCCTACTGCATTGTTGGTGGGAGTGTAAACTTGTTCAACCACTCTGGAAAGCAGTATCAAGATTCCTGAAAAGACTACACATAGACATCCCCTCTGATCCAGCAATCCCACTTTTGGTTATATACCCAAATGAAGACAAACATGGCCATACTAAACTACCAGCACAACTATGTTTATCACAGCATTATTCACCATAAATAAGATATGGAACCAACCTAGATGCCCCTCAGTAGATGAGTGGATCAATAAAATATGGTATATATACATATATATGTCTATATATATGAAATTCTATGCTTCCAGCAGAAAGAACAACACAGCCTCATTTGTTAGGAAATGGAAAGACTTGGAAAAAATCCTATTAAATGAAGTAACCCAGTCCCAAACAAATTTAGGCCCCATGGTTTCTCTTATCTGCATTAATTAGTATATGTATAGGATAATCTTATCAGATGAGCTGAAAAGCTCAAACACTATGTACATATGATCATATAAGTGGATGCTAAGTAAAATCAACCCCAAGATATGAACACAAGAGGTCTGTCTTTGTTGTTGTTGTTTTAAATGTATAAGTGATTTTTTTTGTTTCCTTTGTATGTTCTTTACCCTATGGTATATCCCCTGTTGTCACTGTACTTGATTATGGTACCTTGCATCTTATAAATACATTTGTCTAATCTGGGGAGGGGAAGGGGAATAACAAAACACTGAAACAGGGACACAGGATGACCCGCTGCAACAACAAGAGCCACAGGACAGTATATTGGAAATGAACTTTACAACTTTGGGCTGGAAGAGTAGGGGAGGAGTGTGGGAGGTAGAGAAGGAAAGGGATAGTGCGACAACAAGGGAAGAGGTAACAATGATGGACAAGTAATGTACTCATTGCCTTACTCATGTAACTGTAACCCCTCTGTACAGCATCTTTACAATAAAACTTTAAAAAATCTAATTATGGACTATTAGTAATTATTTGGACATACAGATGTACTACTTCTGGTTGCTAAAATGCTATGTATATATAATGTTTCTTTTATCTCAAAAACTCTGTTTTTAATCCATTAGTTGCATACTAGTAAAATTAATGCAATCTTGAGACAGAAGGAAAACATAAAAGAAACGGACGACTTGAATGTATCTCTACTGATAATAAAACTATTTGTTTATTATTTATTTATTTGTGCTAGTATTGGTGCTTGAACTCAGGACCTGAATGTTGTCCCTGAGCTTCTTTTGATCAAGGCTAGTACTCTATAACTTGAGCCACATCTCTAATTCCAGCTCTTCCTAATTATAGTTTATTGGAAATAAGAGTCTCGCCGACTTTTATGCCCTCTCTGGCTTTGTACTGAAATCCTCCGATCTCAGTCTCCTGATTAGCTAGGATTACAGGAGTGAGCTACCACCATTCTGCTTAATAAAGCTATTTCAGGCTGGATTTTAAATGTAATCACTTCAATCATAAATAAACCAATAAAAATTAATAAATAAACCAACATATTTCACCATATGTATATGTTTATGGCCTGGAATTTTCTATTTAAACAAAGTATTTAATGTAGGAATGGTAGAGAGTTTAAAAATACAATATGCTAAAGTAACTATACAAATTTCGACCTCAAATTATTAATTGATTGTCTATCAGTAACTTAATTTGTTTGTTAAGAGGAATCTTTGAAGAAGAGTAGGATTCTTTTCCTTTTTTAATTTTTATTTTAAAAGTAATTTCAGACTTTTAAAAAGTTGTAGAAAAAAATACTAGTAGTTCCTGCATATCCTTTACCCACCTACCTAACTGCTGCTATTACTGGTGCTATTTGGAAGTGCCAAATTATTGCTGCTGTTGACATTGTTAAGAACACTTATTGAGAGGCTATGTGCTAGGTACTTTTAAACACAGAATATTGCATTCAACTCATACAATGCTCTCACACGAAGGGTAATATCCACATTCTTTGAGGAAACTAAAGTACCAAAATAATAAGTAACATGCTCAAATTCACAGCCAATAAATATTAAACAATGACTTGAACTGAATGCTGTCTAGCTTCAAAGCTTATATTCATCCTGCCCAATTTGAGCAATCATTTCTTATTTTTCACTTAGCACCTTACTGTAAGTATAGGTTTCATATCCTATGTTATTTAAAGGATTTAAGTGACATATTACTCTAAGTACAGTACCCTATCCTTTTTTATGTTAAAGAATTTTAAATAACATTTACTTTAAAAGGTATAAATCCTTTCAGAACATAGTCTATTTCATCCTACTCAAAGGAAAAAGAATTTCTTTTCAGCCTCAAACATTTCCTGCTCAAGATAATGAAAAGCTGGTAATCTCAGGCAAATTTCTCTTAATGTACTATTATAAATGATCATTTGTTTTCCTTTCTTTGAACCTACCGTTAGCTCACAACTCACATATAAAGGGAGGAGTTTACAACTAGCAGCTACTCAGCAGATACTCCAATCAGCAAGAGGTATACTAAATAAAGTACAAAAGATAAGCCTGTAATTCTAGCCACTCAGGAGGCTAACATCTGAGGATCACAGTTCAAAGTCAGCCAGGGAAGGACAGTCTGTCTGTATCTGCTACACAGAAAAAGCTGAAAGTGGTGCTGTAACTCAAGTGGTACAGCACTAACCTTGAGTCAAAGAAGCTCATGGACAGCACTCAGGCCAAGAGTTCAAGCTCCAGGACTGCCGATCCCCCCCTAAAAAGGAGGTTTAAAACACAGATGAATATAATCTTTTTTTTCATTAAAAAAAATTTGCCTGATGGTAAGAGAAAAACAAAGGAAGGGCTAACAATGTTCAAGAGGAAATGTACTCATTACCTTACTTATGTAACTGTAAACCCTCTTTACAGTATCTTTACAATAAAAATATATTTAAATAAAGAAAATTTATCTGACTCAGGTGGCTCATGCCTGTAAGTTTAGCTACCCAGGAGGCTGAGATCTGAGGATCGTAGTATAAAGTCAGCCTGGACAGGAAAACTCATGCAACTCTTATCTCCAATTAACTATGCAAATACTGGAAGCGGAAATGAGTCTCAAGTGGTACAATACTATCCTTGACCACAAAAGCTCAGGGAGAACTACAATATTATCCAAAAAAGCTCAGTGAGAGGGCCCTAGTCTTGAGTTCAAGCCCAATACCAACACCAAAAACAAATAAAATAAAATAAAATAAAATGTTGGAAATTTTAAGCACAGTTGACAGCTTTCAGAATAGGATTTTAATAGCTAAGTAATTCCAAGCAAGGATTGACAAAAATGAGATTGGATCAGAATAAAAGGCTTCTTCACAACAACACAAATAGTCACTAGAATGAAAAGGTAGCCTATAGAATGGGAGAAAAACCTTTGGAAACTATACATCTGACAATGGGTTATATAAAGAATTCAAAAAATAAAATACAAAAGAACTCAAAACCCAATTCCAAAACGACCAACTACCCAATTCATAAGTAAACAAATGAATTGAAAAGCAATTTTCAAAAGAAGGTGGGTGCTGATGGCTAGTTACCCAGGAGGCTGAGACTTGAGAATTTCAGTTTTCAAACTGCAGTGTTCCTGCCAGCCAGCAAAGGAAAGTCCATGAGACTTACATACAGTTAACCACCAAACAATGGAAGTGGAGGAATAGTTAAAGTTGCATAGTGCCACTGGAAAAAAAAGCTAAGTGGCAATCCCTGAGCCCCAAGTTCAAGACCTGGTACTGTCACAAAACAACAACAAAAGGAGAAGAAATGGCTAGTAAACATACAAAAAGATGTTCAATATCCTGTCCAAGAAGAAAATGCAAATCAAAATTACACTGAAAGTCCATGACACTCCAATCAGAATGGCTATCAGGAAGAACACAAACAATTGTTGATTGAGTATATGAGGAGCCCTCAAGACAATTCACAGGAACGTAAATTAGAGGAACCACTATGTGAAAAACTAAAACCAAGAACAAAAACAACAGAGCTACCATATGATCAGTGATAGCAGTATTGGGCATATATCCAAAAGAGTATAAATCAACATACAATAGAGACTACTGCACATGATTTTTATTGCAGTATTGTAGGACTGTTTGGAGGGACTGTGGAGTGGAAAAGATGGGGGAAAGGTGAATAATATCAACACACATCATATCTGTGGATGTATACAATATATAAGAAAACACACTGACAGAAGGGATGGAGGAACAGAACAATAGAAGGAGTTAATCTAATTGAAGTGCAATATATGCATTTGTGAAATGTCATGATGAAACCCATAAGTACAACACAAGAGAAAGAGTGAGAAACATCAATGCAGCCATTTGTTTACCTTTCGAGCAAAGTCCCCTTTTCCTTTACTGTAGGCTTTGTTCTCAAGAAAATCGTATACGTAGTGAGCCAGAGCTGGGGATGCTTTCATCATTTCAGGTGTTAATAGCAACTAAAAAGATGGAAAAGGCATTTTGAACTGATAACTACTGCTTATACTTTATAAAAAGTTAAGAATATGTAATAAAATTTTAACCTTATACTTAAAAACAAAATTACAAGGTTAAAATGAAATGATCAATTGTATAGTTATACTGAGTTTGATGTATATTCTCTACATATGGTATTTTGATTTTCAGAACATATGTGTAAGTTGCCTAAATATATTTATTATTCTAGTTTCTGATATAACACATTAACTAAAGAGCCACATTAAAAAACTGTTAAACAGGACTGGGAAGGTGGCTCAGTGGTACAGTGCTTGCCTTGCATGCATGAGGCCCTGGGTTCTATTCCTCAGCACCACATAAGTAGAAAAAGCTAGAAGTGGTGCTGTGGCTCAAGTGGTAGAGCACTAGCCTTGAGCTGAAGAGCTGAGCTGAGGGACAGCGCCCAGGCCCAGAGTTCAAGCCCCATGACCAACAAAAAACAAGAACAAAAAAAAAACCCACACAAAACAACTGTTATACAAAATATAGTTAATATTAAATAGAATTTTATGAAACAATGTATACAAAAGAATCCAAAGAAAATTTTTCACGTTATAAAGAAATTTTAAGTGAGATACTGCTTTTAAAACTACAAATGAACTTAACATTGCTTACAATTGCTTTCAATACAACCAATGAGTTCATGAGCTAAACAGTATACAGTACAGCCACATTCAAAAGATACAGTTAACAGATTTGGAAAAGGATCATCATCTTCAAAATCTTAGAAGACTACAATTAAACTGAAATATATATATAAAAAAAACTATTCAACAAGAGCCAAATATCTGACATTCAGCTCTAAGCCAAGAAAGGACAATGATGGGTAAGAGCAGAGATTTATGTATTTCTATGGTCCTTTTTAGTACATAATAAGAATATGGAATTCTAATAATGATTATAAACACAAGTTATCTAAGCAGTGTTCAGTATTATTTTCAGTGTATTTGTAAGTTCTAAGGTAGAGGTCAGAAAACTTTTTCTGAGAGAGGCAAGTAGTAGTAACTACTTTAGGTTTTATAGTTCAGAGTCTTCCCTTCCACTCTACTATTTATGAAAGAAGCAGTAGATCAGCCATAGTAGCTGGCATCTATATCTGTTCATACCTTTTGTAGAGTAGACAGAGCTAAATAATGGAACACTATAGACCTTAGCTGCTGCCTTGACTAATACAAGTAAAACTCTGTAAGTTATTACTTCATTAAAAAAATTGTAAAATGTTATTAATATTGTATCTACAATATGGATACAAAGGTGTAAAAGAAAGTTATTTCTGGGAATTCTAACAACTTATGCACTAAGCAACTTATGAGACATTCCTCAAGAGAAAACTACTATATTTTAAAAATAGTTTTTCAGATAAATCCTTCTCTTGAATTATTCTGTAGCTTTGGAAGCCTTAGAATTATTCTGGGCTATGACAGGCAACAATATTTATGTGGGAATAAAAATTTATTAGTTTTTCAAGTGAGCTTGTTAAAAACTGGTTTAGGCAGGTGAAAAGGAAGAATGAGGGAACATGACCAGGAGAACGATAGAGGGAGAAAACGTGATCAACATACACTCTGTGAATGTTTGGTCAAAATAAAAGCCCCTTGTACAACTAATTGGTTATAATAAACACATAAGTGAAAATCTATTGGGCTTTGATATAACATGAAATGCTACCATACAATGAATTAGGAATGTTCAATTTTTAGTCTATCAAAAAGTACCTGCATTTTACTGTAATTTGTCAAAAGTTATGCGTGGATTTATCTAAACATGGAGCTGCAAAATCTCTTATACTACGTGATTAGAAAATTTCTAAGTTAATCAGTAAACAGTTTATAATGTTTATAAATAACTGACTAAACTGTATGTCATGTCACATTTGGCAAACTACTCAAAAGTGGTTATGTTCCTCCTGATATGGTAAAAATGTTATTTTTAATTATGGTTATTTTTAAAATAAAAGTTCCAAAAGAATGTGAAACATATGTTCTATCACTAAGCTTCTAATCCCCTAATATTATTTGATAAAAAAAATTTTGCACAAAGGGCTGGGAAGGTGGCTCAGTGGTAGAGCGCTTGCCTTGCATGTTTGAGGCCCTGGGTTTGATTCCTCAGCACCACATAAGCAGAAAAAAAAATTTTGCACTGTTATATCAAACAAAATCTACCAGAAATAATAAATATGGACTTACCTGTAAATATGCATTTAGATCCTTTTTCCTTTTTTCCAAAAAATCTCTATCCATATTATTGAAAGTCCTTTTACCAGGAAGCTTCAATATACTTGACAGATTTTCAAACTATAAAGACATAATATAATCAACAGTTCTTCCATGATTTTACAAAAATACAATTCTTCATGACAATTTCTCAACATATCAAAAATCAGAAAATATCCAGATATACCCAAAATACTGTTCTAATATTTATTAATTACAAGAAATTAAGAGTGACAAATATAAATAAAGAAAATGTATATTGGCCATATATGGTTTCATAGATAATCATAATAATAATGAGATTTACTATTTACATGATGAAAGTCACAAGAAACATTTTTCTTAATCTTTTGACTTGTAAGTTATTAATATATAAAAATTTGCTTGGTGCCAATGGCACCACAATAGTAATCTTCATACTTAGCTCAAACATAGGATTTTAACCATGCTAACTCTACTTAAGAATTTAAGAGCAAAGCCATTTCACTATGACTGTGCCCGGCCAAGAGGCAGTGACCGGAACTTTTAACACTTTCCTTGCTTTTCCCATGTGATGCACACTGAAGTAAAACAAACTTGAAAGAAAAAACAAAACATTTTTTTCTTCAAATAACAGCAACACTTTCAATAAAGAAAAACAATTCCTAATAAGGAGAGTGAAAGCAAGAGATACTGATATTAGGCCTACTTTTCAATTCTGAACTGTTAGATTCGGGAGAATTATAAAATGAAAACTGATACTTGGACTGGGAGAAGAAAGTTTCAAGCAGTATAGTATCTGCCTCAAATTCTGATGGTTACTTTGAAATAAAATGCAAACAAGTACATTGTATGGTGTGTGTGTGTGTGTATGTGCACGCGTGTGTGCATGTGTGTGCGTGCGTGCATCTGTCCAAGCCAAGGGTGAGGCCTCAGGAGAAACTGACTCTGGCAGCACCTGAATCTTGAACATCTAGCTTCTAGAAATGGAAGAAAGTAAATTCTTGTGTGTTAGCTACATATTCTGTGGCATTTTGATATGCCAGCATCCGTTACAGCATCCGTTAAAACAATAATTCTAGAAACTAAATCTTTTAAAAAGCCCTGAACAATATAACAAAGTCAGTCAAGATTTTCAAGACAATCTTTCTTTATTCTTATATATCTGAAACAAAAATGTAAGTTAGTTCCTAAAATACTATTATGCTAAAAGTAAGAATCAGGAAATTTTATACTCTATATTAACTCATCAAAATATTACACGAGCAAAGGAAGGAGTGATCTTCTCTAAAAGGAAATGTACTCTTGCCTGCCTTATGTAACTGAAACCCTTCTGTTTTTAGAATTTTCAAATAAAAATAATGAAAAAAATTATGGGAATATGTTTCTAAAGCATTTAAAAGAAATTAGAAATTTACAAAAAAAATCTAAGGATTCACAAAAATTAGGTCAGAATGTGAATGTTTACAAAGGATGCAAATACTACATATAAGTCATAGACATTCTAAATTCAAAGACTGTGTGTCTATATTAAGCATATGAGGTTTAGATTCTTTTTTTTTTTTTTGTCGGTCGTGGGGCTTGAACTCTGGGCCTGGGCGCTGTCCCTCAGCTCTTCAGCTCAAGGCGAGCACTCTACCACTTGAGCTACAGCACCACTTCGGTTTTCTGGTGGTTTATTGGAGATAGGAGTCTCACGGTCTCTCCTGCCCGGGCTGGCTTTGAACCGCGATCCTCAGATCTCAGCCTCCTGAGTAGCTGGGATTATAGGCGTGAGCCACCAGCGCCCAGCAGGTTTAGATTCTTAATATAAAATTTTAAAGAGCTAGTCTGAAATTCAAAATTTGTAATATTCAATCATATAAACTTTTACTGTTTCATTATATATAACATTATTACTTAAATCACTAGTATTTTATATATACATAAAATATTATACCCAATAAAACAAAGATTCCGTATCTACAGAATGTATACTCTTACAGGCAAGGATTTTGCCTGTCGTGTTCATTATTATTTTTTAACAAAAGTGTCACATACACAGGAAAACCAAAACAATAAAGAAACAAGTAAAAAAGGGAGGCAGCTGAGGCTGTTTTTAAAAGCATAAGACATTTAAATATTTAATTGTTTTCCTTTAATTTTATAACCCCATGAAATATAAAATTACACGATTAAATTCTTTGGGGAAATAATTGATTGTTTATATATTTAAACAAGGAAAAAGCACATTGTTCATTGTTTCACTCACAAAGTGAAACAAAATGAAATCTGTTTTAAAATCATTAATGGGCTCTTTGGAGTTGCTTTTTTTGATGTTGTTTGCACTGTTTCCAACTGCTGAATTAGAAATCTTCTGTAACACTGTTCAAGTTAAAAACATGCAGATTAGGCAGACTCAAAGGCAAACAATTTTTATTTACAGATGGATATAATATGAAAAAACCTAGTTTTCATCTATAGGCTTAGTTGTTAATTTCTTAAGCTCTGAAACAATCTAAACAATAATCAATCATAGCTACTATTACTTTAACAGAAATACTAATTCAAGCACGCTCATTTCACCTGCACTAAACCTTTTGGAAAACTATACTACTGTAAAAGTTTTGATGCTATAGTGAAAATAAACCAAGTCATTAAGTTCTTCATTTACACTTGTCTATATAGAACATAATATGTACATCCCTTTGAACATTTAAAATAAAAATGTTATTCTTAGAATAAAAATTATAACTATTTGCAAATAGATATTTAAAATAAAATTCACATTATTTAATATTAAGTAAAACTAATTTTAATTTAAAAAGCCTTGAGAATATAATTGGTCAAAATAGTTGAATGAGAAGATATATGAGCTATATCTAAGCTTTAATAATAATTCTCAAATAGGAAAAAAGCAATTATTTCTTCAGTGCTTGTCAGAAAATTATTTTACTTCACAAAGCAAGGTGAACATAAAAACTTTATGATAACATATAAACATCCCTGTCCAAAATTATTAATTTCCTTATGAATATAAATCAAACTATTATTGTTCATATGGAGGCTTATTAGTCAAAAATGACCTGCCTTTATTCATTTTGAGCTATTAATGGTTGATGTCGCTCTACATACACAATATTTTCATGAGATTATCATGGTACAGATTATATTTTTCCATTATCTTAACTGAAATTTTATTTCTGAAGTGTTTGATATCATCTCAGAACTTTATCATCCAATAAGGCATCATATTTATTACTTTTATTGGTTTAATACAATTTGTATATCTAAGGGAATGAATGACTTTTAAGAGTTGAAAGTAAGCTTCAGAGATCATCTATTCAACTTCACCTGGTATTTTTTTCTAAGTTGAATAAAATATTCAATCAAAAAATAAGAAAAACAGTGTCTTTGTATTTGATAGCTTTAAAAGACCTAGCTGAGAACTGAGCCAGCCTGGGCAGATAAATTCTCAAGACACTTACTTCTAATTAGCCAACAAAAAGTTAGAAGTAGACGTTCAAGTGGTTCAAGTGGTAGAGCTCTAGCTACAAGGAAAAAAGTGGAACAAGAACATAAGGCCCTGAGCTTAAGCCTCAGTACTGGTACGCGCACATGCACGAGCACACACACACACACCCCAAAAACAAACTTGTCAGATGCCAGTGGTTCATGATTATAATACCAGCTATGAAAGAGAATGAGTTTTGGAGGAAGGCAAGTTGATGCCAGCTTTGCAGAAAATTCCGGAGAGATTCCATCTCCAAAATAACCAATAAAAAAAGGACAGGTGATATAGCTCAAGAAGTAGAACACCAGCTGTACAAGAAAGTCATGAGGCCCCAAGTCCAAACTCTTGTTCCAGGAAAAAAAGTGCTTCAAGTTACTGTTACATATTAGAAAAATATATACATTAAGAATTAAAAATGTTATCTGATTAATAAGTTTATTTTAGAATGTAGTTCATAGCAAGTGCAGCAATGGTACTAAGATTTAACAGTTACACTGTTATGGTGTGAAATAAGAGGTACATACCATTCACAAGTATAGCTCTGAATTATGCTTCCATACAAAAGCATTAAAATTCCCTATAGCAATCCCATCTCTACTTCAAACCAAACACCTCTGGCAAAGCAAGCATATAAACACACATTAAAAATATGCATATATCAGAAATATTTCATTAAAATTTTCAAAATATACCACTGGTATTTTGTCACTAGTTCTCATAAGACTGATTTTACTGACTCTCATTCTCTTACACTTTCTCTTCATTGGTTTAATAGATCAAATTTTTAATACTAGATCTACTAATTACCCAAACTCAAAATATTTATGCTGCCTATATAAAATATTACCTTATTCTATCTCATTAACTTTAAGATCTGAACATTTCTTAGAGTACTTTAGTATGAAAATTATTATTATTATTTTTTTGTCAGTAGTGGGCATGAACTCTGGGCCTGCGTGTTGTCCTGAGCCCTTCAGCTCAACATTAGAGCTCTATAACTTGTGTCACAGCGCCACTTCTGGTTTTCTGGTGGTTAATTGGAGATAAGAGTCTCATGCCAAGGCTGGCTTTGAATCACGATCCTCAGATCTTAGCCTCCTGAGTAGTTAGGATTACAAGCATGATGAGCCACCAGTGCCTGGCGATAACTAATTTTTTTTAAAAACCTTCATACCTGTTCGGTGATTCTCATGTGGAAATCATGGAAGTCGCTGTATCGCCGGTAAGTTTTCCACATCTCCTCAGTGTTCAAAGTGCGCCGGTGTACGGTGATAGCATACAATGCATATGTCTTGCCATGATCATTACAAACGCCTGCCACAGCATATGGGTCATAGTCAGCATATACTAGTCATTCAAATCCAAACAAAGACACAGAAAGGAGGAAGATGAAGAACAGAAACAAAAAAGGTCAACATGAAATGAAGAAGAATGTGAAATGACAGACTGAGACAAAAGGATGAAGAATAGGCTCCTGGATTCTGTACTCACATGCACAGCTGTAAAAACCGATTGCTATAATAGAAGACAGCTATCAACATTAAGATGGTAGTGTCCACCACAAACTGATGCCTATGTACTTTGTATTCTCTTCCCAAGAGCCACTGTGGATTACTAGGAATATTACTGCAGCACGAAGTGGGAGTGCAGTAGTTGGGACTTTTAAGTTTGAGGAAACAACAGAGACACAATCAAACCTTTCACTAGCCTTCTCTAGTTAGCTGTCCTTCAATTTAACTATGTTCAACTAAAAAGTAAAAGCCATAAAATAAGATTTTTCTCCTGGACATTCTGCTTTTCTCTGATAATTTCAACAATTAGGGATTTAACAACATCATTAAGTCTTATTTTATACTAGTCTAAAATAAAAGAAATGAACTTTGATTCATTTTTGTTTTTCTTTTTTTCGGGTTGGTTGTGAGGCCTGAACTCAGGGCCTGGGCGCCGTCCCTGAGCTCTTTTGCCTAAGACTAGTGTGCTATCAACTTTGAGCCACAGCTCCATTTTTGTTTTTTTGGTGGTTAATTGGAGAGTCTCATGGGCTTTCCTGCCTGGGCTGGCTGTGAACCAGAATCCTCAGATATCGGCCTCCTGAGTAGCTAGGATTGCAGGTATGAGTCACCAGCACAAGGCTTGATTCATGTTTTTAAGCTGTCTGACTTCACATATTTTGTCCTCTGTTTTAGGTCTCTAAAAGTTACCGTCTTCCTCTTACCTGTGTCTAGATAATTTTCTTATCCATCACTTATATGAATTCTGTCTTATTTGGTTTGTTTTTCTATCATTTATTCTTATATGTATTTTATCTTCATGATTTTTTTCTGAAAAGTGTTATACTGGGGTTTTAACGTGGGTAAGTATTATAATTTGATCTATTCCCCATACTTTTCAACTTTATTTTACAGGGTCTCAAATTTTGTACTGTGATCTGGACTTGAACTGTGATCTTCCCACCTACACCTCCTACATAGTTCATATTACAGACATGTTTCATTTTGCTCAACTTGTCTGTTGAGATGAGGGTCACAGTAAGTTCTTGCCTGGGGTGGCCTTGAATCCCCCAAAATAAGTGAGATTATGACGTGTGCCACAATACCTGGCTCTATTTATGAATATTTTAAAAACAAATTATATTAAGATTTTTCATCTCTAGTTTCTTAGAACACAATTTATCCCATATGCTGATTCTGTTAACTCTCCTTTAGTGTAGTTCCTATTTACTCCTGGGACTTTTGCTTTCCACATCCTATCAACGGGTATTGCTTCTGTCTGGGCATTCTGAGTACCCTGAGCTATGGGCAAATTTACAATGACCAGTGTCACCACTATAACTGCTGGTTTCCATGGTTCTGAAGCTATTTTTGTAGAGTTGGTTCTCTGTATCTTGTGGTCTATTTTTTCAATAAACCATACACTGAAAATACCTTTAAATGTTTTTGTACTGAATACCTATAGACATTTTTCCTTGACATTATTCTATAGCTAATAGAGCAAACAAATATTTATGTTGCATACACCTTTATAAGGAGCTTAAAAGATGTTTTTATTAAAAAGTACCAATTTAACTAAAATCAGGAGAAAAGCTTCATATCCCTATATCCATTCTTATGTGTCTGCTCTAAGCCATTCTCTCTGCAGTCATTTTGTAGTAGCCATAGAATCTAGGAAAGAAAAGACTGATAATATCTTCATGAGAAAGGACCTAAACTACATATAAGGAACAATATGGCCTCCTCAGGACAGGTTATTCATGTAACACTGATGACTGGGGTACCTCGACCACTGATGTCAGTGATAGATCGCTACTTCTCTAGAATATTCCTAAAACAGAGTGAAATAATGACAAAGCCATTGTTTGACGAGGACTGTTAGAAATTATACATTCATCCATCTTCCTGTCCCCAATTCTTAGTCCATAAAATTTGAAACTCATGTTTCTACCATAAAGATGGTTGACTTGTCTTCTCATGGCATTCTGTGCCCGGTAATAAACCTCCTTTCTTTGTCCTTTACTATGTCTCTGTCATATACGGCAGCATGGCAGGACCTGACATGTGAAACTCCTGTGATTTGGGATAGAGGTGTAAAAATTCCTCTTTCAGTTTTAACTATTACGGTAATACCTATAGTATTACAAACACTATCTACAGTGTATAAGTACCTTGTAATAATGTAGGTATTGGAATACCTAGTGTAGATTCTCTCTAAATTGCTTGTAATCTAGTGATGATCTACAGTTTATAAGAGGATATGTATATGTTATATGTAAATATAGTAAAATATATATATATATTTTTTGGGGGGAGGTACGGTCGTGGGGGCCTGAATTCTGGGCCTGGGCACTGTCCCTCAGCTCTTCAGCTCAAGGCTAGCACTCTACCACTTGAGCCACAGTGCCACTTCTGGCTTTTTT